TTGTCTTTTATTAGATAGGACAAGTATATACTGGCTGCTAGGCACTGGACGAGGTAGTTTGTCAACTCATTTAGTCCTCAGAACAATCTAGCAAGGTAGCTATTATCGAATTTAAAAGATTGGCTCACACAGGTTAAATGACCTGAGCTAAGAAGTGACAAAATAAAAGTATGAACCTAGATCTATAAAGTTCAAAATATTTTTACTAGTAAGGGATACCTCCCAAACACAAATCTCCCCCACTGAGCATCTGCCCCAGATTTTAGTAATACCAAAGGTAGATACTTTATTTTACTTTTTAATACATTTTTATTGATTTCAGAGAGGAAGGTAGAGGGAGAGATAGAAATATCAACGATGAGAGAGAATCACACTGACTGGAAATCGAACTGTAACCTCTTGGTTCATAGGTTGACACTCAACCAAAGAGCCACATTGGCGAGGACCAAAGGTATATACTTTAGAATGAGTAAAATGAGGTCAGAGATATGGAAATGTTTTGTAAAATAAAGGTAAGTCTAGGAAAAAGTCAATGTCACAGGACACACAAGAACCTGAGTGGCGTGTGCTTGTGAACTTTGGCAGCAACTGCAAAACAGTCTGGCCCAGCATTATCTTCAACTGACTGTGAAACTCGGAAATCTTTCGAGTGTCAGGTGACCAAAGCTGCCTAATGTGCCCAGGTCACCTAGCTGTCCAAGCTGAATCATTGAAGGGGTAGAAGCAGCTGTGCCAACAGCTGTCAGGGTGATAAGATGCAGGCGGGGCTGAGGTTCTTCAATGACAGTGACAAACATTTCAATCAGTGGTCTTTACAAGATCACATACATATGCTGTACAGCACTTCACAGAGGGTGGGGTGGGGGCAGCACATTTTACCTTACAGTCATAGCACCCTGAACGCACCTGATCTTGCAAGCTAAGCAAGGGCGGGCCTGGATAGTACTTGGAATGGGAGCACTAGACTTTAAATAGAGTAAGCATTATGTGCCAGGGCTCTGTGGATATAAAGGTGAACCAGATGCTTGGCCTGCTCAGTCTCATGGGAAAAAACGATCAGTAAATAGCCAGAGTGATCACGGATACTGCAGACTCACACATACACACTGTGGGAGCTCAAGGCCTGTGAGGAGCGAAAGGGACTTCAGTGGAGACATTCTGGCCCTGTCTTGGAGGACAAGAAAAACAGGTGGACAAGGCAGGCGATAATTCCAGTCAAAGGGAACAACATGTCCAGGGGCACAGAGTCATGAAACTGTATGGCATGTTTCTAGAATAGCAAAGAGTTAAGTAAGGCAGAATAGAATGGCGACTGAGATAACGGGAGGGCAAGGGGGGCAGGGTGGTTAGGCTCCTGGGCACCGTGCTTGCCCATCAGCTGGATTCTACCTGGTACATGGTGCAATGCTAGCAAGTTTAAAAAAAAAAAAATCCTAGATGTAAAAAGCAGCCTGAGCAGTGACATGGCGGATGGACTACAGCAATAAGGCAGGGAGTGTGTTGCCGAGTTGAGCTAGGGGAGTGGCCATTCTGAAGGCAGAGTGAAGATGTGTTGGAGGTAGAAGGGAGGAGCAGGAGGGGATGGGCTTGGGAAGGCCTTCTGGTTTCTGGAAGATGTTCCATTACTGGGGAGAGAGAACCCAGGAGAAGCAAGCAGTCTCTGCAGGAGGAAGCGGAGTTTAGTTCTGGGTCCATAAGCATCTCAGGCACCCGTGGGGCACGAGTGCATGTCCACTAAGTAGCTGGAACTCTGGGCCTGGCCCTGAGCAGAGCTAAGTAAGACGTGCTGGCCGGTAAGCATTCCGGGAAGACTTTTTCCTTCCCCTCGAAGCCGCTCCTGCAAGGTCAGCCACACTACCCCTGTTGGCAAGTCCAGTTTTCTTCTTCACCTTAACCTTTTAGCAGCACCTGGCACAGGTGGCCACTCTTCCTCGAAATTACCCCTCTGGGCACTGTCACATAACAACGACCTCACTGGCTGCTCCCTTTGTCTCCCGTGCCCGCCTCTTCTTCCTCTATCCGGCCTGTAAATGTTGACAAATCCCAGGCTGTTTCTCAGCCCTTTCTCTATCCATAATCTCTCAAAGTAATAGCATTCATTTGTATGACTTAAAAACTGTTACGAAAATTTTCAATCAAATACAAAGCAGTATACTGAAACCCGTGTATCTATCAACATTTAGTATTCCTATATGCCGACAACTCCCCAGTGTTTCCTGTAGCCCAGACATCTCCTTTAAGGAGTCAGATAGGTTAGAGTCATATAGGTTTAGGCCAGTGGTTCTCAAACCTTCCTAATGCCGCGACCCTTTAATACAGTTCCTCATGTTGTGGTGACCCCCAACCATAAAATTATTTTTGTTGCTACTTCATAACTGTAATTTTGCTGTTATGAATCGTAATGTAAATATCTGATATGCTATATGTGTTTTCCGATGGTCGCGACCCACAGGTTGAGAACCGCTGGTTTAGGCCAACTGCTTGCCTACTTGGCCTTCCCATCTGAATTCCAGCCATCTTAAACTGCTCCCCACCCCACACCTGTTCCTCCCTTTCTGACTTACTAGCAAGATGGCGGGAACCTTGTGTGCCTTATTCGCTGTTTACAATAATAGCACCCAGCCTATGGTGGGCACTTACATACCAATGGAACAAATAACTCAGTAAATGGCACAAGCGTCCACTCAGTTGGCCGTTGCCCTTGATTCTGTACCCTTTCCATAGTCAGACTGATCCTTTAAAAACTGAGGATCAGATCATGACACACTAGAATTTATACCTTCAAATGTTTCCCACAGCTTCCAGAATAAAACCCAAGCTCTCTAAGACGGTTTGCAAGGCCTGGAATGACCTGGCCCCTGCTCCCTGTCACCTGCCCTCTAGCCAGTCTTCCCTTCACTCCTGTGCTCCAGCCTCCTAGACTTCACTGGCGTTTCCCAGCATGCCTGACTCCTTCCTGCTCAGGACTTTCATGCACACTGACTCTTTAGATCTCAGCCTAACATCATCTTTTTAAAATACGTATACTTTTATTGATTTCAGAGAGGAAGGGAGAGGGAGAGAGAGATAGAAACATTAATGATGAAACAAAATCATTCCTGCATGCCCCTCACTGGAGATGGAGCTGTGACCTCCTAGTTCATAGGTTGATGCTCAACCTCTGATCCACATGGCCAGGCTTAACACCATCTTCTTGAAGAGGCCTTCCATGACCTCGTGTGGTAGGTTCCCGGTTTTCTCTCACAGCAGATCTGTACGTCTACGGCCTCCTGAGGCTGTGACCAAGGCTATTACGCTCAGTTCTCTAGGCTTCAAAGACATCATATACATTCAATATCTGACGGAATCAGATCATTAACTGGGACTGAGTCCTAAAGAACATGTACAGTTAAGGCAGAGGAGAGCCCAGGGAGTAGTCAAAGAGGACAGGGGACCTGAGAGAGCCATCAGAAAGCCAACAGGTTGGACAGAGATAAGGACTCCAGGCTCAAGAGCATGTGGCCCCAGCAGGAAGTCAGGGTACTGGGCAGACCCAGGTCCAGTTCTCCAGTTTCCTGGCTTTGTGACCTTGGGCTCCGTGGGTAAACATGTTGAGTAAATATCTTCAGCCTCAGCTGAAAGAAAATATGAATTTCATGGGCTCGTATCACCTGTGTGAAAAAAGTAAGACACGAAGTAGATGCTCAATAACAGAACAAAAATTAAAGGAGGTTGCCCGGCTGGTGTGGCTCAGTGGTTGAGCTTCCACATATGAACCAGGAGGTCGTGGTACATGTCTGGGTTATGAGCCTGATCCCCAGTGGGGGGCATGCAGGAAGCAGCCGGTAGATGACTCTCTCATCACTGATGTTTCTACCCTCTCCCTTCCTCTTGCTCTAAAAAAAATTAATAAAAAGATATTTTCAAAAAATATAAAAGGAGGCTGATTTGTTAACTTGGAAACATCAAATTTGGAAATACAAGTTGAGCATCAGTCCTAGGAAGGGTGCTGGGCCTGAAGCCAGACAAACTTGGGTTCAGGCTGGAAAATGCCTTTTCTAGGTGTGTCTCACACCCTTTGAGGTCCGATCTCATCTCTAAAATGCAGATCCTATTACTTACTTCTTAAGATTGCTACTGGGATTTAATGGAATAAGTTACATAAAGCAAGAGTTTAACAAACAGGTAGTTTCTTCGCTTCTTCATTTGTAGGTGCCAACTGTATTTTCTAGAGGCTCCTTATTCAACTGTATTTTCTAGAGGCTCCTTATTTAATTAAAAGCCAACAAATGAAAACATGCCATTTAAATTATGCAATGCAAACGAGAAAGTAAACCTACTTTAGTGTAAGTTACTGCAGGCTTTTTTTTTTTAATGTGAAAAAATAGGACATGAATTATGTCAAAGTGATGGATTCAGAAAACCGAACTGAATCCAACGAGGTTAGACAAAAAGTTAAAACATGAACCCGACGCCTACCTAGTGCGGATCATGGTAAATACTTTTTGATGCACGACTTTAAATGCAAGTCACACTGTTCCCAGGACTGAGGCCTCCTCCTGCCCTCCCCTCCCTCGGGGGCGCAGCGCTCACGGCCGGAGAGGTAAGTGGTATCCGCAGCTGCAGACATCGCGGCTCCGCGCGGGCGAGCCGCTCCCAGCGCGCCCGGCGGGCCCCGGCAGGCCGCCTGCAGGGCCTGCAGCCTCGGCCGCGCGCCCACCGTCCGGCCGCCGCTCCGGGTCGCGCCGGGTTAAGGTCCCGCTGGCCGGGCTCGCACAGCGGGCGTACGTGGCCTTGGCGCCGAGCGCCGTCCCCGCCGTGACCTTGAGCCCGAGGGGAAGGCGCTCGGACCCCAAAGAGGCGCCCGCCCACCCCGACCCCACTGACCTCGGCCTCCGGCCCCGCCGCCCCGGCCGCACTGCCCCGCGGGAGCGTGGCCGGGCCGGGGTGGAGACCCGCGCCGGGGACCCCGCGCCCTCCGCCCCGCGGCGGCCCCTCCCCGAAAGGGCGGCGCTGCTCACCGGAGCCCGGGCAGGAGGCTGCAGGGGGCCGCCCGCTGTAGGAGGCCGCCGGCGGAGGCCGCTCCGCGGGCGTGCAGCACTCGCGCCGCCATGTTGCTCCGGCGCCGTGGCTCCCACCGCTCGGGCCGCCGCTGACGCCGCGGCCGCCTCCGCGACCCCTCCCTCGGCTAGGCCCGCGGCGGCCGGGGCGGGGCGCGCGGCCGCTGCTGCGCGGGGCACGGCCGCCAGGGGGCGCAGGCGCGCGCCGCGGCGGCCCGGTGCGCAGTGCGTCCCGGCGCGGGGAAGCCCGGCGGCCACGAGAAAGGAGCCAGAAGCCCGAGAAGAACCAGCGATCTCCCGCGAAAGGAGTGCGCACAGGACCGTGGGCAAGGCTGGAAGGAAAAGGCTGACAGTGTTGCTGGGACTCCAGGGCCTGGGGGACAGAGGTGGGAGGCAGGCTTCTCCCCGCATACCTTTGAAATTTTGTGCCATGTAAATACATATTGCCTTTTCCACATAAACAAACAAAAGTAAACACCTGCATACAGCTCTAATAAAAGCATTCTGATGGAAACATATTCAAGTTCTCATAGGCTTGGAACTAGTACACTGTTGGGCTCATTTCAGCAGCGATGGGTGGGCTCTGGCTCCATCCTTGCCCTCAAGCCATCCCAGCCCAGTGGGGCAGGATGGGAAGTGATTGGGTCAAGTGTGTCAGGTGTTGAAGTGGGCAGGGTCACAAGATGCGAAGGGAGCAAGGTAGAGAGCGTGCAACCTGCAGACGCTCGGGAGCTGACACCACAGGCAGAGGAAGAGGAGCTGACCAGGGGAGGAAGGGAGGACATTTCCCAGCAGCAGAAGCAGCAACTTAAACAAAGGCGTGAGTCAGGATGGCACTGTTTGGGGAAAGTGCATCCTGCTGTAAGATAAAAGAGCCACACATGTAACCATGAAAACTGCAACTAAGACAATGGGGGCAGAAAGGGAGTTGGACAGTGAGAGAAGGGGGGAGAAGCAAGGAGCAGCAGAGGCCCACCCATTAAAGGCAACATTTCAAGGCCAGTGTGAATCTGTAGAGGCCCAGAGAAGAATGCCCTTCGGACTAGGTAGCTGGGAGGTCTCTGCGATCCAGGCAGGTCTCGGTAGAAGGGGTGGGGCCAAAATTGGGCTTGCGGACTGAGGGATTCTCTGAAGTTGGCAATATTGGAGGCCGAGAAGGAAGCATTGGGGCTCAAGTGGTACAGTTTTCTGACCGGGGCAATGTCTGAACAACTTCATCTGGCAGGGAGGCAGCCAGAAGGAAAGAGATAGGTCCTGTGTATGGAGGAGTGGCAACAAGGATTTGCCCAGACCAGGGAGATGCATCTGTCGCTTAAAGGCCAGTGTAAAGGAGGCCAAGGGACACTGGGACAGGAGGCTGGATAGAGGTTGTGTGGCTTAGAGTTCCTGATCCCAACTGGCTTGTGCTCAGTGAGGCTACAGAGAGGCTGACTAGATCCACAGGAGAGGCTGAAGTGAACTATCCCCAGGGCAGAAAGGACAGGTCCCAGTCCTGCACAGCGGAAGACAGGGCCTCAAGGCAGTAATATTAATACGCCCTGGTAACTTTCTCACACGTGTCCCCAATTCTCAGCTCCATTCCAGGAGACAAATGCTTTCAAATCTATTTTCCTGAATTGTAAACTTGGTAGAAATTTCTTTGCTGATCTTGCTTTTGTTATTTAGCGTTAGGCCACTCATTCTGCATTTTTCTCCAATTATTTTTTTGTTCTTTTGTTAATCCTCACCCCAGGATATTTTTCCATTGATTTTTAGAGAGAGTGGAAGGGAGGGGGAGAGAAACCTTGATGTGAGACACATCAATTGGTTGCCTTCTGCAAGCACCCTGACGAAGGCCAGGGATTAAGCCTGCAACTGAGGTATGTGCCCTAGACCGGAATTGAACCGGGAGCCTTCAGTTTGAAGGCAGACGCTCTATCCATTCAGCCAAACCAGCCAGGGCTCCATTTTGTAGTTCCATTAACCCAATGCTTTTTCCTGGGGGAGGACTCTTATTTCACAGGTGTGTGACAGGTTATTCAACACCATAGACTAAATATGGGTCATATTCCTAAAGCATACTTTTTACACCACGATTTAAAAAATTATCTTAAGCCCTTACCGGTTTGGCTCAGTGGATAGAGCGTCGGCCTGCGGACTGAGGGGTCCCGGGTTCGATTCCGGTCAAGGGCATGTACCTTGGTTGCGGGCACATCCCCAGTAGGGGGTGTGCAGGAGGCAGCTGATCGATGTTTCTCTCTCATCGATGTTTCTAACTCTCTATCCCTCTCCCTTCCTCTCTGTAAAAAATCAATAAAATATATTAAAAAAAAATTATCTTAAAAGGTAAAAATGATAGAGTATATGTAAACATTTAAAAATATTTGAGCTTTTAGTGATGGCTTAGACAGGTGTCCTGTCCCTTCCAGGATAGCTGCTACCTCATAGCCCCACCTGCCAGAGACCTAGACAGCATTAAATGCTTCCCTTTGACTTATCCTCCTTGGTACCAAGCCCTGAGAGTTCTGCTTTGCAGCATCATCTATCCAACCTCTTTTCATCTTCCCTGCCCAACTCAGTTTACGTCTTAGGACCAGTCTTTGAGCAGGCCAGTCTTCCTACCTCTGATCTTTCCCCTTCCAGTTTATTCTCTACACTGATGTTGTTTCTTGTATTGAAACGTGAATCTAGTTATATCACTCTTTTTACAAATGTTAAATACCCTAGTACCAGTTAGAGGATAATTACTGCCTATTTATCTATCTGATTTCCACCCTGGTTCAAAATGTTCCAGCAATCCTCTGGTTATGGCTCAAGTCTCTCATACTTTGAGGACTTGATACTGTTCCCTCTGCCTCAAATGCCCTTTCCACACCCCTCATCTACTAGCCTGGAGACTCTTCCTTTAACATTCAGTTCGAGCACCATCTCATCTCTTTTGGGAAATTACTCTAATTCCTTCCCACCAATGTGCTTGTTTGCCATGAAGAGTCCTGGTGGGGGGTGGAGGTGGCGGGGTGGGGGGGAGTGCCTGTGGTCACTGTTGAAACCCTGTGCTTGTATAATACACATATTAGTTGAGGTTGAAATGTGATCCAAATCTCTGCCTAGGAGCCAGAAAACTGAACTCGACTCTGTTTCTTCAGGTCAAAATTTAAATGATCATAATTAATGGACAGCAACAAAACTCTGAAACTTTCCAATTCAAATGCACGTGTGAGAAGTACTACAACTTCATCAATGTATCAGGTTTTAAGAACCCCTTCCTATTTAATGCTGCCTAGGATACAGTACTAAAAAAAGTAACACAGAACTTTTAGGTTTTATTTTCTACATATCAACATTCTTATTAATATGGATTTTAATCTGAGATAGTCTGACCCCAAGCATGTTTACTATTATTTTTTATTTTTTAAATCTTTGTTTTAAATTCATCAATGTCCATTTTATTTAACTGATTTTCTTTCTTTTAAAAAAAATATATTTTTATTGATTTCAGAGAGGAAGGGAGAGGTAGAGAGAGATAGAAACATCAATGATGAGAGAGAATCATCAATTGGCTGCCTCCTGCACACTCCTGACTGGGAATCAAGCCCACAACCTGGGCATGTGCCCTTGACCAGAATCGAACCCGGGACCCTTTAGTCCACAAGCCGACACTCTATCCACCGAGCCAAACCAGCTAGGGCCTCAAACATGTTGATTATTTCTGTTTGGAATTGGTTAAATCAGAGAAAAAAATTAATTTTGAATATACACCATCAAAAACCTTCGCTTAATGTGATCTTACCTGTTTATGGTATCAAAAAGGTTTCTTCTCTCCAAATAAAGGTTCTAAAATAAATTCAAGATTCCTTTGAATGAAAAAAAACAAACACACACACACACATCTCAAACAGTGAGCTTAAAAAATAATGCAGCAGATTGCTAGACACATTTAGTGTAATAGGAAAGCATGTTCACTGAAAAGGAAATTTGAAACATGACCATAAACCTTTTTGGAAAATTATAACAAACGCTTTATTCATTTACTTTTAGCTATTTCATAAATACCAGAAGAAAAACTGATCAGTTTGTGATGAAACTTAGAAAAATTTCTTTTCCATAAAGCAAACTTATAAACCGTTCCCTCTGGCTGGTTTTTCTAATCCTCCTTCACTGTTCTGAAGAGGTACTGTGTTCTTCTGGAGTTTTGTTTAGATGGGTGGTTTCCAAACTGATTGGACTCTCCAGGTAGGCAGTTCCTGCACAAGGTTTTCCAGACACTGGATCTATGACTTGTCCAACTTTGAAAACGATCTCAGCCAGCTCATGTTTCACATGTTTCGTTCGTGGAACAGGCAAAGCTTTGAGAAGCACAATGTCCCCAACTGTGCACTGCTGAAGAGCATCATGAGCAAAGTAGGTTTTTCGTTTATTAAAATACTGTTGAGAGAAGGACAAATGAGCAGTTCCCATCTGTGATCTGGCAATGCAGTACAGAATATGAAAAAGCAATGCACAGAAAAAAAGCTGGGACTTGGGGGGCAGGGGGGTGAAGGTAACATATTTAAGGCAGTTTCCAATACAAAAATTAGCTGCTTAACTTCTGGAAAACAGCAATGACTTTTCCAGAGATGATCCTGTCCCCAAGCTCTCCAGTGTATTCTCTTCAGTACTCTTGCTCTATCGATTACCATCCTTCTTGACACTACTTAAATTCTTCTCTCCAGTGGCACCTTCTCTCCAGTCCATAAACATGCTACTGCCACCACTAGCTGTGTAATTGAGGACAAATCACTTAACCCCAAGCTCGGCTTTTTCCACCATAAAATGAGGCTCTAATATTTGCACCTCTAAAGATACCAAGAGAATTAAGCATCTTCTATAATAATAAAAGGGTAATATGCTAATTAGACCGGATGTCTTCCGGACGTCCTTCCTGACGAAGCCAGAGCTGGAGGGAAGCCAGCCGGGGTCCCGGGTGCCTGTGGGCGGCAGGAGGAGGGAAGCAGCCCGGGTCCCGGGTGCCGGAGGGAAGCCGGTGCCGGCAGCTGGAGGAAGGAAGGCCTGCTCTTGCAAGAATTTTCGTGCATCAGGCCTCTAGTAATATACATAAAGCACTTAGCTCCATGTCTAGCCCAACGTATTGCAAACAAACCATGGATAACTAGAATTATCTATTCCTCCAGGCAGCCCCTCCACAGCAGGTACTCCCACTTACAAATGAGAAAAACAGGCTCAGGGAGGCTAAGTAATGTGCATAGCTAGTAAACGACAGAGTCAGGTCAGTATTCAAACTAAAGTCTTCCAAGTTTAAGGTCAATAATCATGCCATCACTTTTCAGCTCACTCCTGTGTTTGATCCCAGATAACAACTGGCATTTCTACCATCTTGAATGCAGAACATCCTTGACATTTCCCACTCCCTCCCTTACACATCTAACAAAGCAAGGGCTCTGTCCTTTCTGAAATCTACTTTTCCACACTGCTCCAAGG